GCAGTCTAGAAGGGTGGGATAAAAATCTAATAATAAATAAAAGAAAATAAATAAATAAAAAGCTGTCACCAGACCGAGCAAGCACACCGGTCATCCTCTCACTCCCTCACAGCGGTACAAAAGCACCCTAGCGTATTTCCGTTTTAAACCATTTTAAGCTACTGCATTTCACCCCCAAAGCTGCACCTGTAAAGATTCGTTTGAAATGTGGTGCTGGAGGCGAATTTTGCAGATACCCTGGACTGCCAGAAAGACAAACCAGTGGGTCCTAGATCAAATCAAGCCTGAACTTTCTCAGGAGGCAAAAATGTTGATGCTGAGGCTGCCCTACTTTGGGCACCTCAGAAGTCAGGATTCTCTGGAAAAGACAATCACGCTGGGAAAAGCTGAAAGCAGCAGGAAAAGAGGAGGACCAAATACAAGATGGAATGACTGCCTAAAGGAAGCCACAGGGTTGGGTTCGCAAGAGCTAAGCCGGGCTGTTGACATTTGGGAGAGCGCTCATTCATAGAGTCTCCATAAAGGACCATATACGAGATGGAATGACTCTCTAAAAGGAAGCCACAGGGTTGGGTTCGCAAGAGCTAAGCCGGGCTGTTGACATTTGGGAGAGCGCTCATTCATAGAGTCTCCATACGTCAGAAGCCGCTTAACAGCGCATGACAACAACTTACACATCAACGTGTAAGCATCATCACTTTTGGGTTAAAGCACTTGGTGGTTCAAGGCTTTATGGCTTTGAAGAGATGCTCAAAAATTCGTATTTTTTCCGAGTAAGTTATGCTGAGTCTTAGGTGTTCTCTGCAGCTGTGAAGCCTGACAGGGCAAAATCTGTAGGAAGCAGAAATCTGTTGGAGATTTAATTGTGATAATTATTCATATCAGAAGGCTATTCTGCAAAGATCAGGGGTTGTTCTGTCACCCCTGTTACTGTAACTCCTTATTTGTTGCTGCAAGAGATATTGCTATATTGTATTCTTTCAACACAGCTTTTTTTTTAAAAAAAAAGTCTGTTGCTTACCAAATACGAGTGAATCTCAAAGCATTCCAGGTAAAAGAAAAGGGTGAATAAGATGATATAAGAGGCATGTGTTGGGCAAAGCGGGCTCCATGGCCCAGATTCTGAATGCTAAGCAGACCAACTGCTATGGGTTCACAAGAGTATTTAACCACTGAAGCTTCCTCTGGGCTTCGTTTTCACACCAGGATGGGTTGTCAAGATGAAACCCATTCACAAAAAACAAACAGACGAACGAAAATTAAGCAGCGGGGGTGGTGGAATTAAACATAGATTCCCGAGAACCTTAAAGAGTCCCTTACCATTCACAAAAAACAAACAGACGAACGAAAATTAAGCAGCGGGGGGTGGGGGTGGAATTAAACACAGATTCCCGAGAACCTTAAAGAGTCCCTTACGGCCATACTTTGAGTTGAAACACATTTTTATGGTTGGCTAGTAAATTCCTGAAAAAACAGTGTTTACAATGGAAATGTGAGGTGCACTTATAAAATACCGCAAGTGGGTGCCACTCTAATTAACCCCCACCCTTCAATCCTCTTACTGAATGTGTTATATAGGGTCTCTTTTGCTCGTCCAAATGTTCTACAAGAGTCACCCAGGGAGCCCGCTTTGCCTTTTTCCTTGCAATAAGTAAAATGTCAAGAGCTGTTTTATTAAAAAAAAAAAGACTAGAGAAATGCTGATGCCCTCCAGATGTCAAGGCAACAGGAGCAGCTTCCAAGGCCTTTTTAAAGGAGCCATAAAAAAACAACAACCACACAACAAATAAAGAATGACGAATCAATTTAAACGGAAGCCATGTTACTGCCTCTTCCACAGGAATCGTGCAAGAATCCTCAACATTTGCAGCCTTGCACAAGCTGGGATTTTCCAGTTCTGATGGACTACGGCACCTATAATCCACAGTCAACACAACTGGTGCAGGATTGCCATCCCCCTCTACAGACACCCTCGCCTAGGGTTTTTTAAAAGCTAGTCTTTCTGATGGCACAAATACCTTCCCCTCTAAAAGCCACCACCCAAATCTGCTCCCCTGCTGTCCAGAGGGGCTGCTGATTTTCATTATGGATGGAAAGGCAGAAGTCTTTGAAGAGTGCTCTCCTATTTCCCCTCCATCTTCTTCACTCAGGGCTAAACCTGCCCAGTTCCTCCAGTCTTTCCTCCTTATAGGGCTTGGTTTCCAGCCCCCTGACCCTCCTTGTTGCCTTCCTCTGAACTTGCCCGCTGGTTGGCTTCCTTCTTAAGTTTCTTCTACTCGTTAGGGCCCTGCTTCCATTCTACCTTCTGCCTGAGGGCTGGTTGGCTTCCTTCTTAAGTTTCCTCTACTCGTTAGGGCCCCTGCTTCCATTCTACCTTCTGCCTGAGGAAGGAGCCCTTAGAAAAAAGTTCCTGTGGGGGAACTACCACTGCCAGAAAACTACTACAGCTGACCGATTCTGGGGACTGGAGTTCAACCAAGTAATGTCTCCAAGTTATGCTGGGATTGTATGAAAGCGAAAGGTCGACCACAGCCTTAGGTGGAAAAAAAAATGGGAATCATTATAAATTATTCCTTCAAGAACTGCAAAACTAAGGCTGCACGTGAAGGTCAGGAACATTGAGAGGGGCATTTTTTATAAAGCCAGCACGACAAGCAATAAAAAAGGCAACTTGTTCAACATTCCGGATGCTCCTCTGAGTCTTTGCTATTATAGCCATGAGAGACGGAGGCAATATTCATCCGAACAGGAGACGCAGGGCCTCCCAAACTAGCATGGAGGATGATAGTCACCATGTCCTTGGACTGATCCTTAGTGCTGGACACGGAAGGCTGATTCAGGTGTGCTTTGGTTTAATCCAGAAGGGTTTATTTCCTTACGTCCCAGAGAAAATGATCACATCCACGTGTGCCTTGCTAAAGCCTTCATAAGCTTTATCAAGCTGTTGCCTCTGCTTGGAAAACAGGCCTGCAGGCCGCCTTCACCCGCACCCAATTCTTCACACACGAGGCCGCCTGTTTTCAGAGCTAAAAGGGTTACATGGCTGCAGGCTTGCTCCTATAAAAGGGGAATTTATGGGCACCTGGAGGATTCAGGTTTTTTTTCTCTCCACCCCCCCCCCCC